CTTGAAGCAAGCCAAATATGAACTGAAACCTCTACAAATATGTCCCAAGTAGAAACTTGCCTCTTTAAATATTGAGTGTTGAGTGTTTTGCCTCAGCAATGAGAAAGGTAGTTAAGACATTAGCAAAATATGTATTAGGTTTCTCTAGAGAAATGGAAGCAGTAGCTTTGTAGGGAAAGGACTGGCAAGTCTAAAATTCATAAGACAGGGCTACAGGCTGTAGATTTAGGTAAGAACTGCTGTTGTGGACCTAATTCCAACATCTACAGGGCAGGCTAGTAGATTGAAAACTGAGGCAAGATTTCTGTATTGCAGTCTTGAGGCAGAATTTCTTCTGCTGCTACTCATACATAATCCTTTGTCCTTAGTAAGTATCTATCTCAGTGGATCACAATTCCTGCTGGAGTGACCCAAACCTTCATTCCCATGTCAGAGAAAATTAGAGCTAGAAAGTAGTTAAAATTGCTATTTTTTAAGAACTATTGCAGTAGAGGAAAAACACCTCAAGACAGAACTGGGCTTGGTTCCAAATACAGTAAAAACAAGTGGAAATTTATAGCTGAAGAGTAGGGAGGGGACCAATGGATGGAAAATTACTAACAAGAACCATCTAAGGTGCAATGAGGTATAAAAAGTAAAGCCATATTAATATGCTGAGCTGTAAAGGCTCAAGTCAGCAACATCTGACAATTGCCTCTTCTGCTGAGAACCCACTACTGTTATGGACTACTGGATTGTATTGGGTTATTTGGCTGAATTCAAGAACCTGCAATCTTTAGAATGGCTTCAAGTATGAAAAGATCCTTTAAAGACTTCTCCAAATACAGCTTCTCTAACTGCAGTGGAACACTCATCTCTGACAAAACAAAATGAAAAAGGGGAATATGTTGGGAGCCACAAAGATAGGAAATCAATCAAATATGTGTAGGTGGGACTTGGCCCAGCGCCTAAAGTAAACAACCTACCTCACTCCTGAGATGAACATCCTGTCTGGTTAAGGTTAGCTATCAGTTGCTAAGCAACCTAGTGTCATGTGTTACTAACTTCACAAAAGTGTAAATAAAGGACCGTTTTGTTGTGAAAAAAAGAGAAAAAATATGTATACACAAGAGAGTTAGGATGGATATACAGCAACTTTCTCTTAGTTCATTGAGAATAAAAGTTTATACTAATAGTGTTTATACAAGATATCATGTCTGCATCTTGTCCTCAGAATAACTACTACAAAGATAAAAATATTTAATGTATTAATTATTGTAACCATCCTACTAACCTATTTTGAAACTTTTTCATTGCTATTTTATCTTTTTTCTCATAAGTGAATAAAAAAATGAAATGAGAAAGGGTTCTGGCTAAAACAACCTAACAGGATTTTTTCCAAGGACAGAACAGAGTGATCAAGTGTCACTTGGGAGACTTGATTAGATATCAAGGGTGATCAGATGCTAAGGTTAGGAGATTCTGGCTAAACTGACTAACCAGGATTCTTGTTAAAGTTGAATGATGAAAAGATAGATGTGGAAGTACAAAAATCAAGGCTTAATTATGGACTTTTGAACTTTTTTTAGAATATTTTGCTGAGTTTACACACCTATAATATGTAAATTATGGAACTTAACAAAAAAGGGGGATACAGATGAATGTCCATTTGGTATCTGTATATTCAAAGTGGTTAGGATAGATATATAGTTATATTCTCTTAATAAATAGAATGATTTGTTCTAATAGTGTTTGTAAATAGGATATCAAGTCCGCATCTTGTACAGCAATTAACCACTAGGAAGAATGTATGCAATGTGTTAATTATTGACACTGACCTACCAATTTGGTTTGAAACTGTCTCATTGCTATTTGTTTCTCAATAAAATTATGGAAAAAAAGTCAAGGCTTAGTTAGGAAGAGAATTCAGAGGAGTCTGAATAAAATTTGATGCAGAAGAGATTTGTCATTCCAAAAGTCTGCACCACTAGGGTCCTACTTCGATTGAATTGTAGTTATCCATTGACTTTAATCACTAGACACAAATTCACTGAGATCTCCTGTGTTGCAGACACACTCTTCCTTACCTCCACTGTCCAAATCTCTGTGGTATTTGGGATCAGTCAACCCAGTCATAACCATAACACTTTTGTTTTAATTATTGAAAGAGCCCAAAGTGGCCAGGTGACAGCCTTTACTTCCTGTGCAATAGAATTATTGTATCTCTTACTGGAAGCATTCTTTCCTTTGGGGGTTAAGAAATATCAAGTATCAGAGCATATAGCCACAGACATAGGAAGGAAAAATTTGCTATTTTATTTGATTTGTGGCCTAGAGCTGAGGGTGCAGGGCTGCCACTTCAGTGGGCTCAGAGGATAAATTATGAAGTCAATAAAGATTATTTACAAGCCTTACAACCTAACGGAATTTGCTCTGCTCTTTTGAACTTACTTGAACCCATGATCCCTTTTTCCATTCCATTTTTTTTTCATTTCGGAATGGGAATATATATATCCTATATCTTGTGCCACCATTGTTTTGGAAATAGGCTTCATGAATTCACATATAGAGAGGAACTTTATCCTAGGATGAATCATATACCAAGTCTCACCCGTAAGTGATTTGCATGGTTCAGATTATGAGATTTTTAGAGTTAATGAGGTCAAGATAAAATTTTTAATTTTTATAACACCAGAATACAGTTTATTTTCTCATTAAGCAAAGCAAAAGATTAACAATAGTTAATAACAAAACAGAGCACATATAATAAGATTTTGTGATAGACGTGTTCATGTCCCACCATTATATCTTGTATGTGCTCATTCTTGTCTTGTGAGGGTGTGAGCATGCATGGTGACTATGTGAGGAATGACTGTGGCCTTGTGACATCACATTTGGCTACTGGGTGGAGGCTACCTGAGCATGAGCACTGTGGTGCTGTTGATGCAGTTGATCTGATAACTAAAACATCTATCGAGTGACCGTTGGGCAGGTGGTGTGGACAGTGTGGCAGAGAAACGATCCAGCTAAGAGGCAGGCAGGAGCAGTGGCACACGAAGGTTCACTTTGATACTCAGCATGAAGGCAACTTAAAACTTATGAACTGTTTATTTCTGAAATTTGTAGTTAATGTTTTTGAGGCACGGTTATCAGTGAATCCCTAAAGCTAGAGAGGCAAAACCACAAATAAAGAGGAATTACTATCTCTGAGGTTACAAAGAATAGGTGGAAGAGACTTTTAGACTTTTGTGGAGAGTCTAAGGGCTGAAAGGGCTTGAAGGCTTGTACAAAAGTTTAAAAGGAAGCTGGCTGGAGGTGGAGGCAGTGGTTAGGCTGAAGTGGGTCATGTGTGCCACGAGTGCCTCAGGAGCATCTCAGGAATGGTGGAAAATTTTCAAGGAAAAAAGAGCTCACACTTTGGTTTGTAAAAGGCCCTTGGGCTACTCCATGGAGGTGGGATTAGAGGGAGCAAGGGTGCATTTGAGTTGGTTACAAGGTTCTTACTCTTGTTGCCTGGGATGGTGATCATGGCTTGGGGTGTAAGGCAGTGGCAAAGGAGGTGGGTAAGTTGGTCAGCCTTTGGGCATTCGGGAGCAAAACTAGCATGACAGTATTAGATTGAAGTGTGTGTGGGGGGGGGGGCTGGAGATGACAAGCTCAGTTCTAAAGATGACTTGTGGGTATTAGGCAACTGGTTTATGAAGATGTGATTTACAGAGGAGAGAAGGCCAATTAAGGGAGAATATTCATCTGTCTAAGTTTGAGATGATCTTAAACATTCAAGTGGGGCTCTCCTGCATACAGATTAGGTGATCAGATGGTAGGTCTAGAGTAGTGATGTTATTTGGAGGGTAACTAGTGTATGGATAGCATTATGAGAAACAGGTACAAGTTAGGTCATTTAGGATGAGCATGTAGCAAGAGAAGAGCCCAGCATCTGTCTCAGGGAATACCAGCACTTAGGAGATGGAAAAGCAGGCAGAAGAGCCGTAAGGGTTTTGATAAGGAATGCCTAGAACTACTGAGGAAATGAAAATGATTATCTGTTGGAATCCAAAAGAGTGTGTTGAAGGAAGAATAGTGTCATCAAGAGTGCAGAATGTGGCCGAAAGTTCTAGGAAGAAGATCGCTGAAAACTGAGCATTGGAGTTGACAATGTGAAGGACATTGGTGGCCTTAGAAAAATAAAAAAAAATTTTAATTTAAGAGTTGATGCTGGCATGATTAAGACTTCTGAGAATGTGGTGATGGGGTGACTATTTTGCACTTGAAAAGGACATGAACTCTGGGGGACTCTGGGTTAAATTGTTTCCCCTTATGAGACTATATGGAAATCCTAATTCCCAGCACTTAGAATATGACCTTGTTTGAAAATGGAGTTGCAAAAATTAAAACGAAGGTCGGAAAATTGAAACGAAGCTGTTAGTGTGGCTCCTAAACTAATACAACTGGTATCCTTATAAAAAGGGGAAATTTGGACACAGATATCTGCAAACAGGGAGAAAGCCATATGAAGACGAAGGCAGAATCCAGGATGACACTTGAAAAAGCATACATAGAGAGAGTAAATGAGAAGACAGATGAGGAGAAGAGAGCCATGTCACTGGAGTGATGTATTTACAAACTAAGGAACATTAAGGATTTCCAGAGAATTCTGGAAGCTAGAAGATGGAGGCAAGAGTTCTCCCTTGGATCCATCAGCAAAAGCGTGACCCTAACTAGCACCCTGATTTTAGACTCTAGCCTCTATAGATATGAGACAAAATTTTCTATTATTTTAAACACCATTGTTGGTACTTTGTTATAGCAGCCCTAGAAAATTGATGTGGGGCCTCTGTATTTTATTTCTCAGCTGCTGAGACATCTGAAATGTATGATGGTGTCATCCTTCATGTATCTGAGATTCTTCAGTCCCTTTTTAGCTCTGTGATTATTATTCTGTTCCCAAGGAAATGGGGTTTGCTAAGGAACATAAGGAAAACAATTATCTGAACCAATTTTCTGTCATTTTCTGTTAATAGGGTTTGAAGTTCCCAAACCAGAGGTCATCTTCAAGTTGGAACATGGAGAGGAACCCTGGATGTGGGAGAAGAAAACCCCACATTATGGTTGTTCAGGTGAGTGAGTGTGAATCAACCTGAAGAGAAATGCAGAAGTCATTTCTTCCCTGAGAGGTCAATGCTTTTATTTTTCTAATTTTTATTTCCATTACTACATATTTGTAGTACACAATGATTATATTCATTGTGGATAGTTTTGGTATATCGACATAACACATCTTAATTATTTTTATTGCCTCTTCCCCCTCCCCTCCCTCACCCAGTTCTTTTAAAGTTGTACCACTATGACTCTTCCTAAAGGTTCTAAATTTAGAAATTGCTTGAGGATAAATAGCTTTTACTTCTCAGTTACCAAATTGTTCTCTCTCTTTGTTTTCATTATTCTTACAAGCTTATCTCCTTTGCTAGGTTATTTTTTTTTTCATGCAAACACAGCCTTTTATTTATTTTTTTATTTTTTATTTTTTTTTATTCTTCTTCGTTTTTTTTTCTACAGTTTTATTGATAAACATATAGCAATGAGACAGT